TATGGCGGAGTGACTGGTTCCAGAACCACCACACCAAAACCCAGACATGACAGCCCTGAATAGAAAACGGCATTGTATTTGCAAATAACCTAATGCATACATTACTATGTAGCCCAGGCTGGCCTAAAATGCACAGAAATCTTCTTGGCTTAACTGCCTGAGTGCTGAGATTACAGGCCTGTGCCATGTCTGTGATACAAATTGCATTTACTAGGGGATGACAAGAAAAAGGATTTTGTGCCTGTTCAGTACAAAGGTAATTTTTTCAAGTGTTTTGTTTTGGTTTTTTGGGACAGGATCTTTCTATGTAACCCTGGCTGGCCTAGAACTTGCTACGTAGACCAGGCTGGCCTTGAACTCACAGAGATCCACCTGCCTCTGCCTCATGAGTTCTGGGATTAAAGGTGTGTCACCATGCCCAGACCTTTAAAAAAATGTTTGATCTTTTGTTGAACCCACAGGTGCAGAGCCTATGAATTTGGAGTCCACATATCTGCTATTAGAAATATATAATTGTTAGAAACAGATTTAGTATTGCAATTTTAGAGTGTGGCCTTCTTAACTACTCTGTCATGAGTGGAGAGAAATAACCCATGTGTATTATACAACTGTCTTGGTAACTGTTAACCAGTGTAATACTTTCTTGTAAGAAAACTAGCACAACTGGATCCACCCTCTCTTTATTTATTTGGCAAATACAGGAACATGTGCAATCATCTGTCAAAATTGTATCTTATCAATAATTCCAAAGGTATTTATCAGCAAAGTTGTATTCACAGTCTGTTATGTACAAAGTAGTACCCACAGAAGAAGGCAGGGGCCCTGAGAGTGATGACCCCGTGGAAACCCTCCACCTGGCACCTGGCTGCTCCATGCACCAGTCTTGTACGTGCCATTCTGCTGTAGCCTTGTTCAGAGGAGTGTATTTGAAAAGGAAAAGGGCTTTCTGGAAAATCCTTCCTGCTACCCAACCAAGTGCCAGCAGTACATTCAAGGACCCAGGGGGACCCAGCACCCAGCAAAAAGCATGTTGCTGCCAAGCTCCTGGAAATGGCTTTGACATTCAAGAGGTTCATTTCAGCACCAGGGTGCTTTACAATGTGCAAATTGGAGTTTCCTACTGGATGACTAGACTGATCAGGTGATAGCAGGCAGGTGACCCTGAGACGTGAGTACACTCAGCTGTGAAGAACTAAAAGCAGTGCTTTTTTTTTTTTTTTTTTTTTTTTTTTTTTTTATTTGTGAGGTGGGCTCTCCCTGTAGCCCCAGCTGTCCTGGAACTCACTATGTAGACCAGGCTGGCCTTGAACTCACAGAGATCCGCCTGCCTCTGCCTCCCAAGTGCTGGGACTATAGGCGTGCACCACCACTCCTGGTGTGCTTTTTAAGTTTAAGCCTGTTTAAGGAATTTAAAGATGTGAGAAGATCCCAGGATTGCTTCTGGCCTCACATTTATAATCAAGATACGGCATTATTTCCATCCTAAGGGCAACACCAATGTCAAGTCTTTAAGTCTTCCTCAAATTCAGAATTCAGGAACCCCTGGGATTGAGAAGAGGTGAGTCAGACTTATGTATGGACCACCCAAAAGCTAATTTAGAGGACATACTGAAAGGACTAGTTTCTGAAAGAGTAAAGTCACCTTTTAGCATCACTTTTGTGAGCCCTCAGTAACAGTAACTGAAAAGTGGACAAACAGTACTTAAGATGTCATGTGGGGCTGGCGATGTGGGTCAGTTGGTAGAGTGCTTGCCTAGCAGACACACTAAGTCTGATCCCCAGCACCAAATAAACTGGACATTGTGGTGCATGCCATGTGGGAAGTGGAGGCAGAAGGATCAGAAGTTCAAGGTTATCTTTAGCTATATAGAAAGTCTGAGGCCAGCCTGGGCTACATTAGACCATGTCTCAGAAAAGAAAGGAAGAAAGGAAAGGAGAGGGAGCTGGGTATGGTCGCAACACACCTTTAACCCCAGCACTTGGGAGGCAGAGGCAATCTCTGTGAGATCGAGGCCAGCCAGGTGTACATAGGGAGAGCCAGGCCAGTTGGGGCTTCAGGAGGGAGACCATGTCTCAAAAAGACCAATAAAAAGGGGAGAGGGAGAAAGGAGGGGGGGTACACAGAGAGATGGAGAGGCAAATAGAGACAGATCAGATCATATGTCAGAAACAAGAGACTCCATCTGCGTTTTGAGACCTTCTATATCTCTGTATCCTTGGTCTCCAGCACCATGCCAAGCACACAGAGACTTGAACAAATCCTTTCACAGTAGTTTCACAGTACCAGGGTTAGATCATGAACCATCACAAAATACAAAGCCTGGCTCTAAGGGGTCAGAAACAGAGGCTGCCTTTATATGGTGCCTGACCTTGGAAGATCTTGTTGGTAGCTTAACTTCTATAAATTATGATCAAGAATATATACATTAAGCAGGTGTGGTGGCTCATGCCTGTGATCCCAGCAAGGTGAAGGCACCAGGACCCTACCACACCAACCCACCCACACATATACACTTATAAGTGCGTACAAACACACACACACACACACACACACACACACATATACACAAATTTGCTTAAGACTGCATAAAGAACAAGTACTGAATATATTACTTATTTGAGCATTGGGCATCTATCATGGAAGGATACCAAGCTTCCAAGAGGTTTAAAAGTAAAAACCACGAACTCTTTGTTGCTTCTGTGAAGCCAATAAATTGCTCATGACTGTTTCTGTCCCATGATTTGTTTTTTCCTCATGGAGAAATGCAGTCATGAGAGCAAGAGCTCTGACCCTAGGACCTCACTAACTAGGCAGGATCAACGACAGGAAGGAGGACTCTTCTGGCAAAATCCCACAAATCTCTCAAATGAGACTGGCATTCCTGTGGTCAGTGTGGTGGCATTCTACCCACAAATGCCCTGTATTCTGCAGGTGTCAGACCCAGGCCCTTAGCAGCTGCTTTTCTTCTGTCTTTTCATTAGGTGGCTTAGGGTCTTTGGGTCATACTTTATTATGGGTTTTGCCTGGCTTGTGGCCACCCCATCCTGTGTGTGATGACACATCCTTAGTGGAATTGCTTTTTTCTCTGGAGACACTATTTTTCGTAGGAAAGGCTAGTGCTCTGATACTTTAGGAATCACTTAACTGATTCTGAAAAGAATGTGTTCAAGACCAATGATTTAAAAGATGTCTGTGTCTGTGGCTCAATTCTGAAGGGATGGGATTGTTGCCATATTGTTACATAGTAATACATGGATGGACTTAAACATACAAAGGTGCACACAGAAATACATGAAAGCCTCAACATATCTGGGACCCTTACACAAACTGCTCTAGTGAAAGATGCAAAAATACCTTGAATCAGATTCAGAGTGTGATGTTCCCCATGCTGCTGCCTGTGTGGGAACTACAAAGTCTTGGAAAGGGCTCAGTGGGATGGGGTACTTGTCTCAAGTGGGCCTTGGTAGCCTGGAACCCATGTGAAGGTGGAAGGAGAGGAATGACACCACAAAGCTGTCCTCAGACCTTCCCATGTACAACATAGCATGCATACCTGCCCTGAAGTAACAAAGTTTTAAACAGGGGCTAAAAAGAGAGATGACAAAGCCTACTACCACAAGCTCATCTTCTCTTGCATAGCTCTAGTTTTTCCTGTTCTTTTCAATTGTTTGAGATGATACAGTTTTGGCTTATAAAGTTTAGTGCTGGGAACTGAATCAGGGTCTTGAACATGCTAAGTACACACTCTCTACCATAGAGCCAATGCTCAGTCTGTACATTTTTAGGGGGGTGTTTATATGGGTGCACTGGAACCTGTCTGTGTGTGTAGGCCAGAGGTCAGCCTTGGTTATTGTTCTTCAAGAGTCACTGTTTTAAATCTTTTTTTTTTCCTTTTGTATTTATTTTTATTTTATGTGTATGAGGGTATTGCCTGCATGTATGTAAGTGCACCTGTGTTGTACAGTGCCCACAGAGCTCAGAAGAGGGTGTTGGATCCCCTGGAACTGGAGTAATGGTTGCTAGCCACTATGTGGATGCTGGGAACCAAACCCAGGTCCTCTGTAAGAGTACCAGTGCTCTTAACCATTGAGCCAATTTTCCAGCTCCACACTTTGTTTTTTTGACACAGGGCCTTTTAACTGGCCTGGGGCTTGCTGAAGTAGCTAGGGTGGTTGGCCAGTGAGCCCCAGAGAGCCACCTGTCTCTACTTCCCAATGCTGGGATTACAAACTAGGCTGGTCTCCTGAAGTCAAATTCTTAATAGGATTGTCCTAGGCTAAATGAGATGTACCACAGTAGTAGGGCAATTGCTAGCATGCTCAAAGTCCCGGGTTTGATCAACAGTGAGAGGAAAAAAAAAAAAACTATTCCATAACTGAAAAACATTTTAAACTCCAAAGAGAACCCCAAACTGGGTCATAGGATAGGCTAGGAGAGAAAGCAGACAGCTTTGAAAGAGGAAACAATGGCCTTTCTTCAGCCACATGATGATAGTCTCCTACAAATGCTTCCCAGCTGATGGCTGGCTGAGGCCACTGGTTACTCTGTGCGCTGTCTGACCTGTAGTACCTGAGCTCAGCTGTAACCTCAGCTCACAAAAAGATAGGTACACCAGAAGCCACACATCACCCACTGTGAGGTTCCTGAGGAACAACTGGTCCTCCTGCTTTGCCCCTCCTGTGCACTGAGCTCACTTGGCTTCGGGAGGCCCATCCTCTTTCCTCTTGGCAGCTGGTTTATTTCTGACCCTAGGTTCTCCCAAAGCTCACCAAGAAATGGCTTTCTCTAAACTTTAGCTTTGTACTGACACAACTAGCTTACAAACTACCAGTAATGGGCTATTAATTCAAATTCTGTGGTTTTGTTTTCTATGCTGAAGATTTCACTGAGGGCCTTCAAAGACAGATAATCTGTGACTGGGCTATAACCCTAGGCCCTAATTTAAATTCTTACCTACTGTCAGTGGGTTCCAGCAACAAAGAAAAACCAGGACAGAAAGTGCTTCAACCAGCCACTTTACTCTTAATTCTTTGGGCACACATCCTATTTGCCATTGAAGGAGTTAGAACGGCAAAGCTGACAGCATGGACTCACAACACATCATTTGTATCACATGGAGAGGAAAGCCCTGCATTAATAGGTCACTTGCTACCATGACAGAGCTGCCTCATTTGTTGTCAAAGAGAACTGCTATGGACATGAAGGGAAGACAGACAAACAGGCATCTGGGGCAAAAGTGAGCCTGAAGTAGGTCCAAAAATCAGAAATTTGGTGCAAAATCTAGAATTTACTTACGGATTAAGGGATGGTTAAGCAATAGTTCCATTATTTCCAGAAATTACTAAATTTGGGGCCTGAGGTTAAGACTGTTAGGATAAAGCAACCCCAAGTAAGTTCAGTCTGTCCTTGGGAAGAAATGGCAACCACAGATCATAACAATGAGTGTCAGTGCTTGAGAACAAAAATGGTCAAAGCCAACCACACATCTGATGTGATTCAAAGGGGACAGGGAGTATTATGTAAAAATTAAAAGTCGGCAGAGACAAAGTCCAGGTGAAAGCTTGAGCCCTTGTGCGGTGCCGCCTGCTGCCAGTGCCCACTCTCCTCACAGAATCTTCTGAAAAGGTGCATGTTCCATCAGTACATGTTTATTTCCAACATGTGTTAAGATGAGAGTTCTGTTTGATTTACATCACTTCATTTCACCTCCTGGTAATAGTCCTGAGCGTTCCCAGTGTTGGTGAAATCTCCCGTGCCCAAGCATCACATTGCTGGAGGAGCAGAGCAGCTTCTTGGTCTATCATGTTTCCTTGTCCTTATCCCTCAAATCTGGTAGTTTCTGCAGAGGGACACTGTTCACCATGATGATGAATTTTCAAAACCGTTTTCTATAGATAACTCCTTCCAGTATCCAATAGTACAGGTGGTCGGGAAAACTCAGAAGGAGGGTGAAAAAGTTCAACTGGGAATCTTGACTTTGTTAGACGAGGACACAGGAAAATCACCTTTGTCCTGCCCAGATTTTATTATAGTCAGAGAAGAAATATCCACGGGATTCTAATTGCAAATATGCTAGATATAAAACTGATGGAATGCTAGTTGGTCCATAAAGGGCTGCACGAGATAATCTGTGGCAAAGTAGAAAATGAGCCCAAAGGTGATGGAGATGGGAAGTGCTGGCAATGCTTTCTTGAAAATGGCGAGGAGTAGTAATGTAAGGCACAGACCCTGTGGAGACGGGAGGGGTGCACACTTAGCATGACTGTGTCAGCATTCTGTGCGGAACAATTCAGTACCACACCTCAGTTAAGTCAATATACTCCTTTAAGGGGAAATTTTAGAAAAAATGTTTCATTAAATTTAGAAGATGTGTCATGAAAGAAAATGTGGCTCCTAGAACTGGTCCCAATGGTGGAAACCTGGATCCCAGCTTCTCAGGAGGCTGAAGGTGGATTAGAGAAGCCCAAAAGTGTGAGATCAGCCTGGCAACACAGTGAAACCATTTTTTAAAAGGAAGAGATGGGTAGGGATAAGCGAGAAACAAAAAGTGGCCTTATTTTGCAGTGTTAGAGATTGAACCCAGGGCCTTGTGCATGCTGAGTGTGGCCCACTACAAAAGTGTAGCTGCTTCTTTCTGGTTCTGTTTATTATATACGCAGCTTAAGATGGCCTCAAACTATATTCTCCTGCTTCAGCCTCCCAAGTGCTGGGATACAGGTGTACACTATCCATCCTGTCTAGATTAAATAGAGCTTTGGGGGGGGGTGTCGGTGATGGAAGGGGAGTCTCAAGTAGTCCAGGCTGGCTTCAAATTCACCACAGAGCTAAGAACTTGAACTTCTGATCCTTCTACTTCTGCTTCTACCTCTTGAGTGCTAGGATATGCCACCATGCCTGGTTTATATAATAAGGGGGTTGAACTCAGGGCTTTGTGCATGCCAGGCAAGCAATCTACCAACTGAGCTATACCCAAACCTCAAGTAGTAAGAAATATTTACTAAGTCAGTTTTGAAAGCCACAGAATTCCGTGGCACTGTAAGCATGATGGAATCATACTCTGGGTTAGCCTCTCTCACTGTGTCTGCTGCTCCAATGCAACCCTGCTGCAGACTGTGCAAAGCCATTGAACCCTCCTTGCATGGACCAGGGGAGCCTCTGCTGACCCCTATGCTGCTGGGCTCTGCAAAGTGGCTTATAATCAGAAGTCACAATTTCCTGGAGAACTTTTAAAAACTACTCAAAACAAATTATGTTATCTCAGGGTAGGACAAAGATGACCACAGGACTGATAGCAAAGCTAGTGTCAGAAGAGCACACTGCTTTCCTGTAACGGTACACCAAGTATATAATGTTTCAGTTCATTCACAATCAGCAATATTCTTCAGACAAGTGGCTAGGCTGGAAGCATCCAGGTGATTTTAATGTGTGGACAGAGTGGAGAACTATTTAGGTAAGGTGTCATTATCCATTTAAAAAAAGCTTCTCAAGGGACTGGAATTCTCAGCCCACCTGTAGTTAAAAGAAAATTGCTGGGGCTGGGGAGATTGCTCAGCAGGTAAAAGTGCTTGCCACTCAAGCCTGACAATCTGAGTTCGATCCCTAGAACCAACATAAAACCCTGGGTGTGATGGATGCTAATCTATAATCCCAGCATTCCCATGGAGAAATGGGAGGAGAAGACAGGAGAGAGGCTGGAAGCTCAAGGGCCAGCTAGCCTGGAGTACAAAGCTCAGTGGCAGAAACAAGAGACTCTGCCTCAACTAGAAAGAGAACCAATTCTCAAAAAGTTGTTCTCTGACCATCACATGTGTTGTAGCCTATGTGTACATGCATACATACATGCACACAAAAATTAAATGTCAAAAAGGCATACAGAATGTAGAATTCTGACATATTTTTACTAGTTTATACTTACAATTAATATGGCTACGAAACAAGCTATGGTTGTGTTCCAGTCTCCACTGGCAGTTGCTGAGGCTTTACCAACCAGAACACTGTAGAAAATGAAATCTCCCAATCCAAGTTTTACTCCCCCTAAAAAAAGAAAGATTAAGAATGTAAAGAAAGTTGTCATTCTTTCCTTTTAGTTCAGACAGAATCTCTATGTAGCCCAGGTTGGCTCTGAACTTCTGATCCTCTTGCCTCAGCCATTCAAGCACTGGGACTACAAGCATGTACTACCACACCCGACTGCTGTGATTTCATAATTCAAAAACATGACCCCAAGCTAGGCATGGTAGTATGTACCTATAGTCTGAGCTACTCAGGAGGCTGAGCAGGATGACTTAAGACCAAGAGTTTGAGACTAGCCTGGGCAGTGTGGTAAGATCTTGTCTCAAAAACCCAAAACAAATGAACCAAAAAACATGGCCCCACAATGAACGAGAAGTCAGTAAATCAAAGATACAATTAGGCTTCGGTTAGGTTTTTCCTTCTGCTTTTTCTACAAAAGGAGATTCAGATTCCAGTGACTCTGGCACCCTAATAGATGCTGCTGTTCCTATCAGTAACAAGTAACTGTCTTCTACTGAATGCCTAGTTTATACCCAGACCTTGTGCTACTAAATCCTCACAAAGAACTCCTAAGAAACTTGACTAAGGTCTACCTTGTGAAATCCTCCCCTGTAAGCGCATAATTCAGTGACCACGGAAAACACAGAGCTGAATGACCAGCATTTCAATCTACATCCCACCATGGCAGTAAGGCACTATATGCCGCTAATCCTGCCCAAGTTGGAAGTAACACCAAGGTGTTTTCTATCTCTGTAGATTTGCCTTTTCTAGACATTTCAAAATTCATACAAAAGGAAGCATTTTGTGAATAATTATATACACCTTTACAAAGGTGTTTGGGGACCTGGGGAGATGGCTCAGTGGGTAAACTGCTTGCCATGCACACATGAGAACCTGAGTTTGGCTCTCTAGCACCCAGGTAAAAGCTGGGCATGGTGCATGTCTATAACTCTAGTGCTAGGGGGCAAAGACAGATGGAGCAGCTTAGCCAGAATGGCCAGCCAGCTCCAGATTTGGTGAGAGACCCTGCCTCAAAAAATAAGGTGGCTAACAATTAAGGCATTGACCTCTGGCTTCCATACACATACACATGTTTGAGCACACCTTTACATACATGTGTATTTCCAAAATACACACATCACAAAGTTTTGGAAGACATATGTATGTGCTATTTAGAAACCAAATTCTAGCCTGAACAGACTTTCTTTGTAAGTAACTTTGCCTGCTCTAACACACTACTGAAATCAGAGATGGTTGTATGCTAAATGCTAAGATGATCAAGAATGTTAATTAACACCAGCCATGGTGGCAGATGCCTTTAATCCCAGGGAGGCAGAGGCAGGCGGATCTCTGTGAGTTTGAGGCCAGCCTGGTCTACATGGCAAGATCCAGGCCAGTTGGGGCTACAGGGAAGAGATCCTGACTCACAAAAAAAAAAAAAGGAGTCAATTAGCTACTTTCAAATATGCATATGAAGTTATGAAATATTTGGGTTTTCCTTCAAAACAAGTGCAAAGATAGATGAGGAAGAAGGTGGTTAGGTAACAAGGAGTACACACATGCACGCACGCACGCACACAGAATGCTGCTGATGTGGCCAACAATTATGCTCTTTCTTTGGCTCCAGACATTCACAAAAGAAGAAGACAGGAACAGAAGAGGCAACTTAATTATGGCAGTCAATTTGAAAATCCACAGCAAATGCAAGCAACGTGAAGATGTAGGCAATGACATCTAGTTTCCCAGGAGTGTGACGGTCACAGGATGACATCTGCAAAACTCAGGAAAGCAGCCAAGTCACCAATACACCCAAGGAAGTTTTGATAACAACCCAGGGCAAGCTGAAAAGGTGCTCAGCTCAAGCTGAAGCACACAAGGTCACAAAAGTGAGTAATGTTAGTATCACATGGGTACTGGGAACCAATCCCGGTCATCTGCAAGAACTGAGCCATCTCTCCAGTCCCTGTGTTTATTTCTTTAAAGCTATTTAATATTCTTTTTCTCCTCTAGGCAAGGTCTCATTATAATGTTTTAATAATATAATACTTTAAAATTAATTAATCAATCAATTAATTAATTATTTTGTCCTTTTGAAGCAGGGTCTCCCTGTAGCCCCAGCTGTCCTGGAACTCACTATGTAGACCACGCTGGCCTTGAACTCACAGAGATCTGCCTGCCTCGGCCTCCCAAGTGCTGGGACTACAGGCATGCGCCACCACGCCCAGCTTTATTTATTATTTTTATTTTATATGTATGAGAGCATTGCCTGCATGTCGGTAAGTGCACCCGTGTTGTGCAGTGCCCGTGGAGGACAGAAGAGGCCATCGGATCCCCTGGAACTGGAGTTATGGACAGTGCCATGTGGGTGCTGGGATTCAAACCCAGGTCTTCTGCAAGAACAACCAGTGTTCTTAACTGCTGAGCCATCTCTCCAGCTCCTATAATACTCTTACAATGTTTCCACTTAAGATAACGTAAGTGGAACATTTGTTAATTATTTCTTTTTTAAAAAGATTGAAAGCCAGGTGTGGTGGTGCACGCCTTTAATCCCAGCACTCAGGAGGCAGAGGCAGGCAGATCTCTGTGAGTTCAAGGCCAGCCTGTTCTACACAGTGAGTTCCAGGACAGCTCGGGCTACAGGGAGACCCTGTCTCAAAAAGACCAAAAAAAATTAATAAATAAAAGATTGAATCTGAAGCTCTCTTCTGACTTCTGCAGCATTGCACAACACAGGTGCACTCACCTACATGCAGGCATATAATACACTCAAACACATAAAATAAAAATAATAAATATTAAAAAAAAAGTTCATTGAAAAAAAAAAAAGATTTATTTGCTGGACATGGTGGTGCATGCCTTTAATTCCAGCACTGGGGAAGCAGAGGCATGAGGATTTCTGTTGAGTTTGAGGCCAGTCTGATCTATATATAGAGTTCTAGGCCAGCTGGGGCTACAGGGAGACCCTGTCTCAAAAAAATCAAAACAAACAAACAAAACAAAAAGATTTATTTATCTTTATGTGTATGAGTGTTTTGCCTGTATGCAGTTATGTGCATCACATGCATGCAGTGCCTGTGGAAGACAGAAGAGGGCATCAGATCTCTTAAAACTGGAGTACAACGTTTGAGCTAACATGTGGGTGCTGTAGCATCACACCTGGGACCCCCTTCAATGGGTGCTCTTAACCTCTGAGCCTTCTCTCTAGCCCCAAATGTGCAAAGTTCTTATTCAGTATGCCATGTCTCCACGTGAAGGGATGACTGAGCCTTGCAATTGTACTAGCTAAGCATATTCTAAGAGGAAAGTATTAGGTACTAACTTGAAATCTGTCAAATGGAAACACATCTTAGACATCTAAGAAATGCTTGTATTTCTGTCAATATCTTAAATCTCTTTCACTTTCTTTAAAATTAATTAGCTACCATGCTTGGTAACAAAGCAAGTAAGCAACAATGTAAAATGCTGAGACACACAAATCCAGAGATCACTGTACAGCAAAGAGTGAAATATTAAGGCACATCTGTGTACAAATATTATAGCCAATAAGTCTTATTTTATTTTTTAGGTTTTTTTGAGACAGGGTCTCCCTGTGGCCACAGCTGGCCTGGAACTCACTGTGCAGACCAGATTGGACTCAATCTCATAGAGATTTGCCTTCTTCTATCTTAAATCTGCTGAGATTAAAGGTGTGTGCCACCCACACCTAGCACAACCAATAAGTCTTAATTGGAATAATAATTCAAAGAAATCATTTACTTTTTTTTGTTTTTGTTGTTTTTTGGTCTTTTTGAGACAGGGTCTCCCTGTAACCCCAACTGGCCTGAAACTCAGTATGTAGACCAGGCTGGCCTTGAACTCACAGAGATTCACCTGCCTCTGCCTCCCAAATGCTGGGATTAAAGTTATGTGCCACCACCCCTGGTTTACAAATCAATTACTTTTAAAAACCAATGCCAAAGGATCAGACTACAAAGGGCCTATTAAAGAAACCTGAAAGGCAGAATTTAGCTATTAACAAACTTAGCTATAATAAATGTACTAAGTGTTAATAGGGTCTCCTGCTAAAAGCTATAGTGATACTCAGCATTACCTGGTTATGCTCCCAGTTCACTGTATTATTTCCTTTTTGTGTGCAGGCATGGGCAGAGGGGAGGTATGTGTATGTGTGCACATGGTGTGTTGGGGCCAAAGGTTGGTACGGGGAGTCTTGCTCAATCATCCTCCCATCTTGTTTTGGAGACAGGGTCTCTCACTGAACTTGGGATCCACTGATTTGGTAGACCAGCTGGCCAGCAAGCTCCAGGGATCCTCCGTCTCTACCTCCCCAGTGCTGCAATTATAGGCATGGTCCTCATGATTACATGGTAAGCACATTACTGACTAAATTATCTTCCCAGAAGAACTTATTGTATTCCTGAGAGACTGATAATGGGGCACCCAAAGGAATCCAGGACTTCAGAGAAAGAGATACACATACTTTCCTCTGGGTCTTCACTAGTTAAGATACTGCTGGAAAGTTCCTGGACAGCAGCTCGTGACTCAGGGGTGGAGCGATGAGGCCCCAGATGACTGTCCCTCTGGGCTTCCCATTCCTCACTGAAGCCACCATCATCGCTTCCAGTAGTAGTGCTCTGTGTCTCCCTTTCTGCTCCTTCAAGAGAAAGTGCCAATTACAGCTCTAACATTTAGAATAATTTCTTAATACCTTTAAGGAAATTACATGGAAACAGCAGCAACCTGTCACTGTAGCTGGGCCATGCAGCACGGGCAGCAGCAGTATCTGTTGGCATGTGTAGCCAGGAGCCATTTCCTTCTTATTCCTGAGGGCAGACTTGGTACCAGCCAATGAATGTTAAGCAAAGTTCTGGAAATTTTGGAGACAATTTTCTCCTTCTTTCCTCTTTTTTTTTTTTTTTTTTTGGTCTTTTTGAGACAGGGTCTCCCTGTAGCCCCAGCTGTCCTGGAACTCACTATGTAGACCAGGCTGGCCTTGAACTAACAGAGATCTGTCTGCCTCTGCCTCCTGAGTGCTGGGATTAAAGGCATGCGCCACTATGTCCAGCTTTTTTTCCTCTTTTTAAGGACAGAAGGAATGGTCAACTTCCTCCCCCCGTATCTAGTTTGGATACAATGTCTGGCACTGCGACTGTCATGACCACAAGGAGTTGTGGGCTGAGGATCATGAAGTATGCCAAAGATGGCAGAGTAGGAAAAGGAAAAGAATCTGGGCCCTTGTTAATGCCAATGAGGAATGTCTTGTTCAGTACTATATTCTCAGATCCTAGGAAAGCACTGGGCATACACCTAGGTGTCCAGACAACATATGTCGAAGAATAAAATCTTGGCATACCAAAACTATACTCCTACTCCTAAACATCCAGTCACAAATAACTTTTTTTCTTTAGAGTAACATAACAACCAGGCTTATAGCACTATTTCAGTATATTTCCTCTCTTCTTCTATTAGGTCTGTTACTGGTCTAATGTCATCTTGTTCTGCTGTGTTACATACTGTAGAAACGAAACCTGGTAACTTTTGGTCTCAAATCTGAACTCCCAATAGAAAGTGCCCTCCTTGTACAAGCTACCCAGATGCAGTTTTCTTGTCTCTGTAAAACCTGACACTCCTTTTTGGTGATGAACAGCAACATAATCAAGATCTACTTCTTAAAAAGGATTTGTTTTATGTGTATGAGTGTTTTGTTTCCATGTATGTATGTACACCACATGCAAGCCTGGTGCCATGGAGGCCAGAAGGCAGCATTGGATCCCTTGAAACTAGAGTTCCAGATGGCTGTGAGCCATATGGGTGCTATATGAAGCAAATCTGGGTCTTCTCCAAGAGCTGCAAGTGCTCTTAACAGCTGAACTATCTCTGCAGTCCTAAGGCCTACTTTTCTTCTCTAATTTTATTTTTCTTTCTCTTTTTCAACTTCCTAAGGTTAGCCCTTTATTTTTCTGTTTAAGCGGTTTCCCTTCTTTTATACTTTTGACTTTTTTTGGTCTTTTTGAGACAGAGTCTCCCTGTAGCCTGAGCTGTCCTGGAACTCACTATGTAGACCAGGCTGGCCTTGAACTCACAGAGATCTGCCTGCCTCTGCCTCCCGAGTGCTGGGACTACAGGCATGCGCCACCATGCCTGGCCCTTCTTCCATACTTTTAATAATAAAGATTCATCAATTCTTTCTAATAACTTATAATTTATGTTAGCCTTTCTGTCTTCTGTAATATCCACAGTGGCCTTGTAATCTCCCATCCTTGGTCATTACCATTATCCAATTCCAGAAAAATCATATCTACCTCAGTCTTCATATAAGCGTTACTACACCTCCAATGATTTTTCAGTTAGCCTGGCCATCCTGGACAGTGGTTATCATTTTTTCTTTTCTTTTTCCTTTTTTTTTTTTTTTGAGATAGGGTCTCTCTATGAAGTTCAGGCTGGCCTTGAACTCACAACCCTATTGCCTCCATCTCCAGAGTGCTGGGATTACAGGTATTCACTACCATATCTTGCTGAAGTTTTCACTTTTATGTATTTGGAGAGAGCTTAGTAGTAGTTGTTTTTTTTTTTTTTTTTTTTTTTTTTTTTTTGAGACAGGGTCTCTCTGTAGCCCCAGCTGTCCTGGAACTCACTATGTAGACCAGGCTGGCCTTGAACTCACAGAGATCCGCCTGTCTCTGCCTCCCAAGTGCTGGGATTAAAGGCATGTGCCACCACGCCTGGCATAGTTGTTGTTTTTTAATGTGCATGAGTGTTTTTTCCTGCATGTAAGTGCACTTATGTCATGTAAAACCTGGAGGATAGAAGAGGATGTCAGATCCCCTGGAAGTGGAGTAACAAAGGTTGCTTGCCACCCTGTGGGTTCTGGGAACCAACCCCAGGTCCTCTGGAAGAGCAGTCAGTGCTCTTAACCACTGAGTCATCTCTTCAGCCCTTACAGTTTTTTGTTTTTGTTATTGCACACACACAGGCATGCGTGTACGTATATGTTGGTTTTGGTTTTTTGAAACAGGGTCTCCCTGTAGCCCCAGGTGGCCTGGAACTCTCTCTATGTAGACCAGGCTGGCCTTGATCTCTCAGAGATCCACCTGCCTCTGCCTTTTGAATGCTGGGATTAAAGGCACACGCCTCCATGCCAGGCAATAATGGAATCTTAAACATGTGATTGGTAGTTCGGGAAGTGTTTTAGCTCCTTAAATATCTGCATGTATAGCTAGTGGGGATGGCCAGTTATTTTGGGAAATTCTCTGAGCCATCTTTCATCATCACAATTCCCCCTGCTCCCATCTCCAGTGCTGAGGACAGACTCCAGGGCTTCTCACGTGATAGGTAAGTACTCTGCTCCAGCTCTAGCCCATTTCCAGGAGATTCTCAAGGGAGACTATGACCAAAGAAAAGGTTGAAATTACTGCTTCATAACCAAATGTTAATCTATAAGATGACAATGACCCTGTAAAACATTTCCAAATACATGTCACCTACTTTGTGCATTGTACTTGGGGTTTTGGGGAACTCTTCTTTGGGCTTCTGGGTCGCCTTCAGCCATATTCACCAACCACACCATTGTTGCTGTTGAGGAGGACAAAGTTGCAGGTGAGCAATGGAAACATAGCAGGACACTTTGAATAAGCAAGAAGCTATCATTTCTCCACAGAAATTGCTGTCTTTATAATGTTGCCAAGTGTTTAACAATCAGCAGCAAATGCAAATTAAAAACTATAATCTATTTCAGCTGAAGAAAACAAATCTAAAACTGAGTGTAGTAACAGAACATCATTCTAAAATACTTACAGGAGTAAATAAGAGCTGGAAAGAGAGTTTCGTTTCTTTCTTGGGCTGTTTCAACTAGCATACGAAGTGGACCTTTAGGGCACAAAACGGCTACTAAATCTAGAAAAAAATTCAAAAAGATATCTAATAAAATCATTTAATAATGACTAAAATGTGTAAATAGGTATGGTATATGTTTGAGAGGAACTGAGGGAAAGGGTTTAATGTTTTTATATAAAAAGATGTTAGGCTAGGTATGATGGTGCATGCCTTCAATCTTTAATCTCAGCTCTCAGGAGGCAGAGGAAGGTAGATCTCTGTGAGAAAGAGGCCAGCCTAGTCTACATGGTTTTAGGCCAGCTGTTGCTATAGGGAGACCCTGTCTCAAAATAAAAAAAAAAAAAAGGGTGAATATGAAACAACTTGCAAGTAAGTGGGTAGGAGAACAAAATAAAACAGGGCCCTGCAGATCTGTGCAAAGTACATTTGGGTTTTATTTCTATTTGCTTAGTCTATGGCGTATAGATTACTGGGTTCTAGGCACTACTCTCCTTAGGTTCAAGGAAAGAGGCAGACGTATCAAGACAGAAGTATTCTAGAGTTCTCCATCTATGACAAGCAGAAATGGGAAGGAGTTTTTTTTTTTCAAATAATTCTACCTATAAATTACAAATTTCTACTTCACTGAAAATACTGAATCTTTCAAACTATGAAGAGCAGAGTAGAAAAGATCATCCCTTGTTTAGAAAGTGTAGGACGGAGTGTGCTCTGCGGTGTAGCACTTGCATAGCATACGTGAGGGCCTGGGCTCAGTTCTCAGCACCACAGAAACAAGTATGCATAATTAATGCAATAAGAAGGCCATAAATTAAACAAAATGCTAGCTCTTTGCATGATGAACTTTAGTATTTCTTCAGTTTCCAGTCAAAAAAATCAACTCATATTCAAGTCTCAGACTATGTGGTGCTAAAAACTGACTTACTTTGCAAAAATAGGAACTCAGAGAGAAAGCAATATGCTTAATTACTTTTGATTCTAATACTATTTTCTTACATGAAGTACAATTTTTTTTTCATTTTCTGTTATGGAATTTAGAATACGGAAATATAGGAAATCATTTTTAAAAAGCTCAAACCAGGTCCAGAGAGATGGCTCAGTGGTTATTAAGTACTTGCTGAGTGAGCCTGATAACCTGAGTTTGATCCCCAGAACCCATGTAAAGGTGGAAGACGAGAACTGACTCCACAAAGTTGTCCTGACTTCCAGATGGGCATATCTCCAACATCATACACACAGTAAAGAAAGAATTTTTAAAAATCATTCTAGAATAGCTAAATTTGTAAGGAAAGATTTGACAGCTGATAGCTGACATTACTGTCATTTAAAAACGCTGGAAGTGGTTATGTCTTATATAAAAGAATATAGTAGTGAGTCATACACACATTTGAATACACACACACACACACACACACACACACACACACACACCCTCTACTTTCCACTTTTTTTTGAGACAGGGTCTCCCTGTGGCCCCAGGCTGGCCTCAATCTCAAAGCTCCTTGCTGGGATTAAAGGTATGGAATACTCCTGGCTTTCCTCTCATCACTTCTATTTTTTTGATTTTCTGTACTCTGGAATAATGAGATCTTCAGCTGGCTTAAAGCTGACACATCCTCTAACTATTTTGGTTTTATGACAGGCTTCCCCTTATAGAATTTTGAAATGAAAAAACTCAGCTATTTTTAGAGCAATTAAAGTGAATGAAAATTAATTTAGTTTGGAAAAATTCAGAACAATAATTCTGACAAAACATCTTAAGGCTTTGCAAAAATGGAATTTAGAATCACTATTCTAATTACTGGATACAAAGTTTTCTTCATTATTTAAAAAATTCAAACCTCCTGCCCTGAATGGAAGTAGAAGGCTGATGATAGTGGAGAAAATAACACTGGACTTGGAATTCAGAATATAGCTCAAACAATATACACATCAGCAAATAATTTACCTCTATAACCTTCAAGTTTCTTAGAAATAAGAAAATGGGATAATTACCTTACTTTACAGGATTGCATATTTTAAATTACCTAATTTATCACGTGTGTGTGTGTGTGACATACATTTATTTATTATTTAAAGTGTGTGTTGGTGTGGCACTAGGATGGAACCCAAAGCCTCATGCACACTAAGCATGCACTCTACCACTGATCTGCAATACTCCTAGCCCACTTTAAAAAAAGAGAAAATGCTTAGCATTTACTTTACAGGATTGCATATTTTAAATTACCTAATTTATCACGTGTGTGTGTGTGTGACATACATTTATTTATTATTTAAAGTGTGTGTTGGTGTGGCACTAGGATGGAACCCAAAGCCTCATGCACACTAAGCATGCACTCTACCACTGATCTGCAATACTCCTAGCCCACTTTAAAAAAAGAGAAAATGCTTAGCATTGTGTGAGAGGCATTGGATTGTGGTGGAGCAGAAGTCAAAGAAAACTGTAAGCTGCCCAATGTGGATGCTGGAACTGAACTTGAGTTCTCTATAAGCACTCTTAACTGTTGAACGATCTCTTCACCCCCTTTTCCTCACTTTTTTTTTTTTTTTTTTTTGAGTTAGGGTCTCATTATGCAGCTGAGCCATCTCTCTAGCCCCTAAGACTTTATATTTTAAAAGATATCTGCAGTCTGGAGAGATGGCTTAGTGGTTAAGAGTGCTTGTTGCTCTTCCAGAGCACCAGAGTTCAGTTCCTAGCACCCACATTGGGTTGTCTTCACAACTACCTGTAACTCTAGTTCCAGGGCACCCAAAACCCTCTTCTGACCTTCAAGGGCACCTGGACACACTTGGCATACATTCACAAACACCTACACATAAATAAAAATAAATCTTTGCTGGGTGTCATGGTATATGACTTTAATTCTAATACCTAGGAGGTAGAGGCAGGCAGATCTCTGAGATCAAGGCTAGCCTGGTCTATATAACTTATTCCAGGCCAGGTGGGGCTACCAAGAGACACTGTCTCAAAACAAAACAACTTTAAAAGAAAGTTATTGATATTGATGATGTGCTAAATATATGCATAATATTCACAGTAACTGAGACTTCAGGGTAAAGTAACTGATCACAAAGCCAGTGAGTGAGACAAGTGGAAAACTCTGGATTCAAACCTAGGTACTTTGTCTCTGAAACTGGCTCTGTGTGTATGTGAGGTAGGTGCTCTATTGCTGCCTAGATTCCTCTTTTTATGAGATGAAGTCTTTGTTTTTTGAGACAGATTCTCACTATGTAGCCCTGGTTGACCTGAAACCCTCTATGTAGATCAGGCTGATCTTGATCTCATAGAGATTTACCTGCCTTTGCTGGGATTAAAGGTGTGTACCACCACACCTAGATGATTATTATTATTATTATTATTATTATTATTATTATTATTATTATTATTATTATTATTATTATTATTATTATTTGGTCTTTTAGAGACAATGTCTCCCTGTAGTCCCAGCTGGCCCAAAACTATGTAGACCAGGCTGGCCTTGAACTCAGAGATCTGCCTGCCTCTGCCTCCTGAGTACTGGGACTAAAGGTCTGTGCCACCACACCCGGCTAAAACTTCTGATCTTTTTGACTCAACCTCTCAAGTCTTAGGATTATAGATGTATGCTATCAGGCCAAATTTCATTTTTGTAGGGATTTTTTTGTTTTGGTTTGGTTTTTGTTTTTGTCTTTTTGAGACAGGGTCTCCCTATAGCTCCAGGTGGCCTGGAACTCACTATGTAGACCAGATTGGTGCCATCTCACAGAGATCTGCCTGCCTCTGCCTCCCAAGTGCTGGGATTAAAGCTATGTGCCACAGCCCAAGTTTATTTTTTATTTTTTGGTCTTTTTGAAACAAGGTCTCCCTGTAGCTGCAGCTGGCCTGGATTCGCTATGGAGACCAGGCTGGCCTCAGAACTCATACAGTTCTTGCCTCTGCCTCCTGAGTGCTGAGATTAAAGGAATGCGCCACCACACCCAGCCTCCCTCCAAATTTAATTTTTTTTTTTTTCCAGAGCTGAGGACTGAACCCAGGGGTCTTGCACTTGCTAGGCAAGCGCTCTATCACTGAGCTAAAACACCAACCCCCCCAAGTTTAATTTTTAAAGGGGTGATTCCACTAAAGCTGCTTTATAATTTTGATCTTAATAATGAAGTGAGGGCCAGTGAGATGGGTCAGCAGGTAAAGGCAACTGAAACCAAACCTGACAATCTGAGTTTGATGCCCCAGACCTACATGGTTGGAGGAAAGAATTCCCAAACCCTAAAACTATCCTCTGACCGCCATATGTGTGCTGTGGTTATCATAAGCACACACACATACATATGCACACACAAAATAAAACATTCTAAAAGAATTGAGCATTTTATGTGGGTCCAGTAGTCTGCAAGCACTTCTCAGCATACGTTCACTTCATTGCACTCTCACAACTCAGAGACCTGTATCCAGTGAGCAAATCAAAGCTGAGGAAACTATTGGTGACAGAAATGCTGCTTTCCTGGTATTTTGTTTGCTGAGGTGCCCAGGGCCTTACACGTGCTAAGACAAAGAGTTTTGCCTATCAGTCTTTTGACCAGCAGACCATGGCTCCTCCTATTAACCCATCACTGAGTTATACTGGAATAGTAACAAACATGGTAAAAGTTCTCTGTGTCTGGAGATAACATTCACTGGCCCAGCACTTGCCTAGCATGTACTAGTTCCTAGGTGTGATCCTTTGAAGAGCTGTGGGAAATCATTACTAAGCTTTTTCTTAAATCAAGAGAACTGGAAGAGGAAGGGAAACACAACAGTGAGCATTTTTGTGACAAACAAAGTGTCAGTCTTGGGTTTTACCATATACTGAAATCACAGCCAAGATGAGCCATGCGGTCCACTCAGGGAGGTACTTGATAAATACCAGGGCCATGAGGGCACTGATCATAATAAGATACGCCTGCTGCAGTCGGAGTGGGCCTTTCCAGTGAATTGCAATCATTCCCACCACACCAAAATTCCAGATCAGGATCGCAACCGTAATGTAGTCCACAGCAACATTGTAGGTCTTAAACACTTCCCTGAAAACATTAAACAGGGATTTTTAAATGATTTATATAAAATAATTTTCACCAACACATTGTTTTGGACTGTGATTATCAAGAACTAGAAATTCAAATCCCAGGTTTATATTTTTAACAGGGCCTACATTAATTGTACTATTATTTATCTAACAATTTTTTCCTTAAAAATTGCTTTTTCCAGCTGTGCATGGTGGCACACGCCTTTAATCCCAGTGCTCAGGAGGCAGAGATAGGCAGATCTCTACGAGCTTGGTCTCTATGTGAATCCAGACCAGCTGTGACTACAGGCAGACCCTGTCTCAAAAAGACCCTCCCCGCCAAAACAAACTTTTTCCTCAAGTAGAACTTATTTTAATAGGTAACTACATTTTTCATCAAATAAAATGAATTATCCATTAATTCATATTTAAAAAAAAAGGGCTAGAGAGTTGGCTCAGCGGTTAAGAGCACTGACTGCTCTTGTAGAGGACCCGGGTTCAATACCCAGCACCCACATGGCGGCTACAAACCGTCTTTAACTCCAGCTCCAGGGGAATCTGAAGCCCTCTTCTGACCTCCATGGCACTACACAACATGGGTGCACTCACATACATGCAGGCAATACACTCGTACACATAAAAATAAAATATTAAAAAACAAAACAAAACAGCATCACAGGTCACATCTATAGAAATAACAACAAAAACTAAAAAAACTAATACTACCTAAAATGTCATACTTTATTTTAAAAAGTCCTAAACTAGGCAGTTTCCCCATATGCTCCTAGAGCAGCACCACCACCTATGCTTTCGTGGATTGCTTTCCCATCAACAGTTCATACCCAGGAGCCGGGGAAGCAGGGGTATCAAAATGAGATTCAGATGACATCATTTGGCATTCACAATTACAATTGGTGAAGTCATCTGGGAGGGGCTGCATACTGGGATTCTAGCCAAGCAATAGCTATCAAAGTGCCTACTGGAATATTTGGTCCAAGCCAGAGATTTTATTTCTCTTGACCAAGAGCTTTCTCTCAAGGGAGGCTTTGGACTTTCTTATTATAGTGACATTCCCCTCTCAGAATAGGTAACACTAAAATCATTATGAGTCAGATCAGAGTTTCCAAATGCTTTAGGTTATCTCAAGCTTTTAAAGACAAGGGTGCTAAAAGGCCCAAGGACATTTCTGGCTTGTAGTCAAGAAAGATTAGGGGGAATCTTTTACCCTAAATGGCCTAGCCAATTTCTATCTTTTTTTTTTTTCTCTGAGACAGGGTCTCCCTGTAGCCCCAGCTGGCCTTGAACTCACAGAGATCCGCCTGCCTCTGTCTCCCGAACGCTGGGATTAAAGGCGTGAGCCACCAGATCCGGTTTAGCCAATTTCTATTTAATGTTCTTATCCTAATCCCCTCTGAAGAGGTTACCCTGTCAGTATAGAATGGGGACAACAACTGATCTGGCTTCTTCTAGCTGAATGGGAGTGATGGGATAGTAAGGATATCTCTCTAGTGGGTCTATCTAAAGACCTCAAAAGTAACTGTTAACTGTATGGAAAAGGAAGTCCTTGGTTAGTGTCTGGAAAGAGATGTGAGAAGTAAAGACAAGTTATTAGCATTACTAATCCTAGGCAGGAAACTGGGAAAAACCAGAACAGAGGATATTTTCAAATATCCAAATCAAAGTCCATTAAAATCTCTTGATGGGCTCACAAGAGCATCCATTTGTTCAGCTCCTCCACATTCTTTTGGCCTCCAAAGCAGGACTCGAGACTGATGAACTCAGGATCTGCTTTAACTGAGCCATGCTAAGGAGTTTGGCGGAATAATTAGGGCTTTGATGAGATAGTGAACTTTTATTTCCCAGAACCCCCACCTCTGATACATTAGGCCCCAGATATGTAGCTTTCTAAGCTCTCCTTTTCATTTTTCTCTTTTCTAACCAAGCTTTCTCTAACACTCTGCTTCTCCAGCATTTTGGGTTTCTTCACTCTTTCTCTAAAGCTCCCGTCCCAGTCATGCGACTGCTAGTCCACCATGTGTCTGACCTCCGTGCAGGCTTTAAAAAGCATGGGATATTTCCTTTCTCTCCTCCATTCTCCTCCTCCAGGCAGCTGCTGAGATTTACAGCTTGCCTGCCCTGAGGTTTTTCTTTTAAACCCTAATAAAATTCTCCTTAGAAGAAAGAAAGACCCTGAAGTATCAGAAATTAGAAAAAAAAAAACATGGATCAATCAATTTTACAGCTGAGACATAATTGATACCCTTCTCATAATGAAATTCAAGATAACTATTACAATATATATATACACACACACACATATATATATATACACACACTCAATGCACAGAATATAGGATGACATGTTGCTTTATTTTTTTTAAATCTTTTTAATTTTTTTTACTTTATGTATGAGTGTATTGCCTGCATGTGCGTGCAAGTGGCACCCATGTCGTGCAATGCCCTAAGATAAGAAGAGTCAGATCCCCTGGAACTGGAGTTACAGACAGCTGCTACCCATCATGTGGGTGCTGGTAATCAAACCCAGTTCCTCTGCAAAAGCAGCCAGTGCATGCAGGCAATATACTCAAACATATAAAATAGAAAGACCAGGCTGGCCTCAAACTCACAAAGATCTGCCTGCCTCTGTCTCCCAAGTGCCACCACGCCCAACAAAAATAATAATTTTTTTTAAAAAAAGATAATCTCACTGATGAGAAAATATGTCTAAAAAAGCTGGAGACTGATATATTAATTCCTAAAAGGACTAGACTTACCTTTGTTTTTACACAATGTATGACATTTATTTACTTATTTAAAGTGTAAGTGTGTATTGGTGTGGCACTAGAATGGAACCCAAAGCCTCATGCACACTAAGCATACACTCTACCACTGATCTGCAATACTAGCCCACTTTAAAAAAAAGAAAAATGCTTAGCATTGTGTGTGTGTGTGTATGTGTGTGTGTGTGTGTGTGTGTGTGTGTGTGTGTGTGTGTGTGTGTGTGTGTTAGAAGCCAGAGGCATTAGATCCTGGTGGAGCAGAAGTCCAGGAAATTGTAAGCTGCTCAACATGGATACTGGAACTGCTAAGCACTCAACTGTTGAGCCATCTCTTCACCCCCTTTTCCTCTTATTTATTTAATTTATTTAAAAATTTTTTTTTCAGGAAGTAATCTCACTATGTAGCCCTGGATGGCCTAGAGCTTGCTATACAGACAAAGCTGGACTTGAACTCAGAGGTCTGCCTGCCTATGTCTCCCAAGTATTGGGATTAAAGGTGTGCACCATCATGCCTGGCTGCCATCTTATCTATTGAGATAGGGCCTCTCACTAAACCCGGAGCTTGCTGTTGTGGCTAGCTTGGCTGGCCCAGTCCCTGAGATACCCCTGTCTGTCTCCCATCGCTGTAATTATAGGTGTATACCATTGTACTGGTGTTTACATGGGTACTGATATCTGAATTCAGGCCTTCATGCTTACCCAGCATCTGAGCCATCTCCCAAGCATTTTTTACTATTTATTATTTTTATGTGTATTAATGTACTGCTTACATGTATGTGAGTGCACCCATGTTGTACAATGCCCATTGAGGTCAGAAGAGGGTGTCAGGTCCCCTAGAACTGTTACGGACAGTTGTTGCCTGCCATGTGGGTACTGGGAATCAAACCCAGGTCCTCTGCAAAAGCAGCCAGTGCTCTTAACTGCTGAGCCATCTCTCCATCCCCTCCCTTGAACTTTTTAAATGAAGAAGACTACTACTTGAACTTCTGGAGAACAACATCTACAATCTAAAAAGAAAGACTATAACTATGGAAGACAATTTATCCTCTACTTTGAAATTCTAAAATAAATGTTGAAATTTCTAGTAGATGTTGCTCTGTATATTATACTAAGCATTTCAGGTATCTTAGCACTGAAACAAAATGAAAAACAAACTATTAATCCTTAACTAGGTAATACATGTTAATATAAAATTCACAAAAGACAGTATAACAGGTATGCTTCCCTCCCTATTCTGTGCCACAATTTTCTCTAGATGAAAGCACCATTGTATAATTAATTTTATGTATGTTCTTCCAGTCTATTCAATGCATCCTTTTTGTTTGTTTGTTTGTTTTGTTTTTTGAGACAGGGTCCCCTTGTAGCCCCAGCTGTCCTGGAACTCACTCTGTAGACCAGGCTGGCCTTGAACTCACAAAGATCCGCCTG